TTCTAGAATAAAATGTATATTTTTTTATTATTAATACTCTTTTTATTATTACACTAACTATTATTTAAAAAGTGTGCTTAGAGATTTAATTCATGATCTATCCCCCAGGCCCATGGTGGCAGGCAATGCAAACCAATTACATAGTCCCCACAAGATTTTCCCCACAGACACTTTGTTTTGCTGGAGATGTGGCCAAATTTCAACATATATCATGTTTCATATATACTCTGCTTCTATAATAGAAGAACAGTCTTGCTATGACTGTGTATATGACCTGCCCAGATTTTTATTGTAAATAATGTTTTAACAAAAACAAAGTGTGCTTAGTTTTGTTGCTTTTCTCTATGGATTATGAAAAAAACAAAATAATTTTTGCAAGCTATTATCACTAAAAAAAACCCTTTGTTTGTTCAAAAAAAAAAAAACAAAAACAACATATGTAATACTTTATTCTAGCTAAAGACAAGTTACTCACAAATAAACATGCCCATGACAGAAATATAAGCATTGTTTTGGTCCATAGGAGGTGTTCAGGTGCAAGAGCTGAAATGTCTAATATAAAAACATATTATTGGCCAAGAAAATCCAACTCAACATTTTTTTACCTTGCGAAAGATGTTTGGAGAGATGAGGATGTGCCAAGAAATATGCAGTCATATCCTGTACTGTCAATTCTTATCATCTTTTGTCTTTTGGCACCTTTTGTAGTCTCAAGAACCCTGCAAACTGATACAACTTTGTCTAACAGAAGATCAGGATTAGAAGGCAGTTTTGCTTTTTTTTCATATTTCAAACTTATATTTAGTTCAAGAAAAATAAACAACAACCATTATGACAAGACCTAAAATGTAAAATTACAAAAAGTAACAACCTCTTTAAATTAGGCACGTGCACATCTTAAGGGTACTTGCACACAGAACTGATGTATGAACATCAGATTCTTAGCAGAAGACTCCTGCCTAAAAGCTCAAGGATGGTCTGTATAATATACACATCTATTTAATGCATTTTATGTGTTTGCATACTTGTAAAAATTATTGTCGCTTTTCTTGGGTTTTCATGTCTCATAGATGCGTACTCACGGGTGTGCACGAATATGTATGCGCAGAAAATACTGAATGCAAACTTTTTTGGGGGGTAACAGAGCTATATGCAGTGCAAGTTTACGTGTCTGTGTGTACAGGCCCATTAATAATAATGGGCTGCATTTAGATGAGGAAAACAAATGACTAAATATCTGAAAATGCGCTGTTTTTAGATGTCCATGTGCAAGAGGCCTAACTCTCAAAAACCTAAATGCCATTTTTAAAAAATAGTTAAAGGAAGATAAGAGGAGGGAAGAAAAAAAAGTAAAAGGGGGAGGAGGGGAAATAGTAGGGGCATGACTTCTGGAATCTGATAAATGAAATAACTTTTATACTGCACTCTATCATCAATAATATAAAAGCAGAACTAAACTCTCCCAATCAAGATTAACTATTTGCAATCCTTATGCTGCTAGTATTAGTAAAAGATAGAGAGGTACAGTATATTATATTTTCTTGTTTTAACCTTTTTCTTACATGTCTTCAGTTGCTTCCTGGTTTCTGGCCTAGGCCAAAATTAAGTCATATATCCAAGGTGTCTTTATGAACCGTTTTTTTCCTTTCATCTGGAGGGTGAAAAGAAGGGGTTTCTCAGCTAAGTACACCCTACTGCTTGCATGCATGAGCTAAGGGCAGAGAGATTCCAGGTAGTTTATTTAGATGCTTTTAAAAAAAACTAGTATTGCATTAAAAAATATTGCTAATAGACTCCTGTGTGTAATGGTATAGCAGGATCCACTGATCTTGTTCCAGAACAGCCTATTATATATTTAATTGTTCTAAGTGGGGTTGGTTTAAAAAAAAAAGTTTTATTAAAAGATATGGCACCATGACAGTTATAACAGCAATGCAACACATTGGACCATTATACTATAACCAAGATAATATATGCCAGGGTTTCTCAACCAGGATTCCATGGAACCTTGGGGTTCCTCCAGAGGTTGCTAGGGGTTCCTTGAGCAATGAGCTATTTTTGCCTTTCAGATATTTTCCCACTGACACCATTGGTCTTTTTAGCTATCTGTAAGCGGGGAATACTTCCCAGTGACCACAAGTGTAAGGAGCATTCTTCCCACTGACCATCACACTAATGTATCATGAGTTGTAGATATAGTAATTTTTAGCAGGAGTTCCCCGAGACCGCAAAGTTATTTCAAGGGTTCCTCTGTGTTGAAAAGGTTGAGAAAGGCTGATATATGCAGTAGCTGAGAATATCATCAACAAGATGTAACACTCAACATGAAAATGGCTTACAGGAAAGGACAATACAGTGACTACAAACTCCCTACAGGTGCGTGCTCTATTGACCATTTGGGCAGCTATATTAATTAGGCCCAGGTAAAAGGATGAGAAGTCAAACACCTAAGCGGGCTTGACAGATTATAGGGGAAAAACATCTAGAAAAACCATGCGCATCTCACTAACAGATTACAGAGTAATTGTAGTCAATGTAGTCAAAAATGGGGTTCAATTTAAAATTACCATGAAGGCCACCTTTTCCAAGAACTGTGGAGGAACAGAAAAGGAAGATAGGAAAGAATATAGGAATAAGGAGTAGGCAAGACTAAGTAGGGTTGGTAATGTTAAATCTCTAATATTGTGTCCTCACATAATGTGACGTTAAATAATGTGCTGAACCAAAGATTGTTAAGAGTACCTAATTTTTAAGCTTGTCAGGATGTTTTGAAATTTAAATTCTCATTTGCAGGGTAAGAAAGACAATTAAAACTTGTATGAAGATAATTCCTTTTATTGAAAACTTCAAAACAGAGAGTGAACTAGATGAACATGATATAGAAAATTGAAAGGCTGTAGAAAAGTGATTTTCAGATTATGGTCTGTAGACATGTACTGGGTATGTTTCTCAGATATCAGCTGGTAAACATGCACAAACAATGGTGTCAGTGAGTTGGGTTCTATGCCTGCTTCCAGTCTCCTCTAAGAGTAATAATGATACTCTGATACTCGCTAATATGCAGAACATTATTGATGACACTTGATAGAAAGAGACTATCTCCTTCTTACAACACTCTATCAGCTGCTCTGACACCATTTTTAGAACTTCTGGTTAAAGAAGGGACCCAACGTAGATGTATTTAAGCAAATTTACTAAAGTATTTTGAACCCTTCCACACTCTGTCCAAAACTCCTAAAAAAGCCTGTGCCTAGAGATAGACTTTGCAACCCCATGAATGGCACTTTCATTTGTCATTGACTCATTGCTGAACATATATGATCACTATTACAAATGATAACTTAGTGAACTAAGCTACATTCTTCTTTAGTTATGTGCTATGAATGAGTGTAATAACCAAATTGTTCCATACATTTTTCAAGCCTAAGGCTCCATGCACACTGACTTAAAAATTGCTGCATCTACAGGAGTTTTGTGTTTTACCTGTAGAAGCAGCTCAGTGTTATCCTATGTGTCCATGCACATTAGGACAATTAGAAGCATATTGTAAGCTCAATGTATAAACACAGGAGAAAAAAACCCTTCTGCTTTGTGTTTCTGATTAGAGCTTTCTGGCAGAAAAATGCTAAACTCGCCTAAACTGTGTGCAAAAACGCTCTATATCAGCGTTTTTTTTTTCTCTGCCAAGGGAACTGGTTATGTTTCCTATTTAATAATACAAATCTTAAATACAAATATTAAATTAAATAACAAATAAATGCAAAATCAATCATTGATATACATAACAATAAAAAAGCATTTTTTTAAAAATAGCATTTTTTAACATCCTTTGCACCCAAAGGCCCAGTGTGCATGGAGCCTTTGGGTGCAAAGGATGTTAAAAAATGCTATTTTTATTGTTATGTATATCAATGATTGATTTTGCATTTATTTGTTATTTAATTTAATATTTGTATTTAAGATTTGTATTATTAAATAGGAAACATAAGCCTGAAAACATTTTCACTATGGTGATCAACACATGACCAGTCATATTCTGCCATCTTATGATAAATATTGTGACCAAATAAAAAAATCTGCAAGAACTTAGGTAAGAGTAAAGTTGTACCTGCAGAAATTATTCAGAATATCTGATGATCTAATTTAGAAATGCATTTTCTACTAAACTACTAGTATAGTTAACCTGAAACATAAGCAATCTGTCCTGACAGAAAAACAACTTTCAGAAATGTTCCAACTAAAGAAATGCAATAAAAAATTGCAAGCAAATTATATGAATGTTTTGCTCTTGGCTATTCCAGGAGATGTGTGGGTGAAACAAAACTTTTCTTAAAAAAATCATGCACATCTCACTAAAAGATTACAGAGTAATTGTAGTCAATGTTCCAGAATCCAAGAACATGCCCTTTTAAGTTAAATTACTATTATCTAGCAAAAAAAAAAAAAAAATATATATATATATATATATATATAATATACAAAAAGTGATGCCAGCAGATTGTTCTTAAAAGTTTTAAGAATAACTCTCCTTAATATTTATAATATAAATATTAAGAAGAGTTATTCTTAAAATACCTTTGGAATTTTGTGACTATATATACTGTATGTATGTATATATGTAATACCGTATTTGCCAGCGTATAAGGCGACTGGGTATATAAGACGACCCCCTAATTTTCCATTCAAAACATAGGTTTTGGGCTATACTCGCCGTACAAGACTACCCCCCTTCCGAGGCATCACCATTTAACCACAAGCCTACAGGGCACTTATACCCCCTTCCTGCCCATGACAATTTTAAGCTATCAGCGCTGTCACACTTTGAATGACAATTGCGCGGTCATGCAACACTGTACCCATATGAAATTTTTATCATTTTTTTGTGACAGATAGAACTTTATTTTGGTGGTATTTAATCACCTCTGGGTTTTTTATTTTTTCTTAAACAAACCAAAAACCACTGAAAATTTTGAAAAAAAAATGTTTTTTCTTAGTTTTTGTTCTAAAATTTTGTAAATAAGTGATTTTTCTCCTTCACTGACGTGCGCTAATGAGGCTGCAGTGATGGGCACTGATAGGCTGCACTGATGGACACTGATAGGTGGCACTGATGAGGAGGCACTGGTAGGTGGCACTGATGGGCATTGACAGGCATCACTGATGGGCACTGAAAGGCAGCAATGATACATGGCACTGATAGGCGTCACTGGATGGCACTGTTAGGCGGCACTGACTGGTGGAACTGATAGGCGGCACTGATGCGCACTGATAGGTGGAACTGATTGGCAGCACTGATATGTGGCACTGATGGGCATTGACAGGCATCACTGATGGGCACTGAAAGGCAGCACTGATACATGGCATTGATATATGGCACTGATAGGCGGCACTGACTGGCACTAATAGGTGGCACTGATTGGCAGCACTGATAGGTGGCACTGATTGGCATTGATAGGTGGCACTGACTGGCACTGATGGGTGACACTGAAAGGCAGCTCAGATGGACATTGATATGTGGCATTGATGTGCACTGGTATGCACTGATATGTGGCATTGATGTGGCACTGATGGGCACTGACAGGTGGCACTGCTGGGGCTACACTGATCATCAGGGCACACTGATCATCAGTGCCCTGATGTTCAGTGTACATGTCCCCTCCGCGGAAAGCCGATTACCGGCTCTCTCTCCTCTGTCAGCGTGACAGCTCGAGAGGAGAGAAATACAGATAACCGGCATTTCCCTGTTTACATGTGATCAGCTGTGATTGGACACAGCTGATCACATGACCGAGCCCACATCTTCGGTTCTTTCCGTAATCGGTGATCCGCTGTGTCCGAGGGACACAGCGCACCGCCGATCGCCGCGCGCTCTCTGAGCCGCGCATGCGCGGAGAATCGGAGGACGTCATATGAGCCAATCGCTCGCGGCAAGTGATGTATTCTATTAATGAATACAGAGCCTGCTCGGAGAGGCGGGCTGATGATGTCACAACTTCAGCCAATCCGAGCAGGCTCTGTATTCATTAATAGAATACATTGCTCGCCATGATTGGCTCTGCGCGGTATACTGTATGTAGCCGAAGCTACCGTACAGTATTACCGCACATCCAGCGGGCTGACATTCTATACCCTGCGTATAAGACGACCCCCAATTGCTGGGGTATAAGTATAAAAAGTCGTCTTATACGCCGGAAAATACGGTATATAAATTTTATATATTACATACATACATACAGTATATATAGTCACAAAATTCCAAAGCAGGTGAGTTGCCTAAAGGATAAGTTCACCTTTTGGCCAAAAATAATAAATTCACATTGTTTTGCAGGTAAAAAATGTGCATTTATCATTTTTGTCCAAAGGAGCCTGGAAAACACTGCACCAGCGATCAGTAGATTGTTGATGCCATGCAGGACTTCTGCATACCTGTCAAAATATCTGCCGTATGGAATGTAAGAGCAAGCAGATATACTGACTGGAAGCTTCAGTGAACTACCACGGCGCTACATAGAGCCATGGTAGTTCATTGAAAACTACAATCCGACAGCCGCTAAGGTTGCCGAGACTTATAGGCACTCATTCACAGAACACTGTGAATAAGTGACGCAACCATGTGATCGGAGCACCACGCGGCTGCACTGTTTTCAAATCTGACAGATAGTAAGGGGAAACTTCTCCACATACTATCTGTCAAAGGGAGAGGGGGTGTCGGGCACGGCTGCAGCTATGGGATCATGTTACATGTTCCACCCTAAAAATGGGTAGAACATGTTATAAAGTTATCCATTAATGGTTTCCTTCAGAGTGCATGCAGCAGGACCAACCCTGACAGTCCAACATATTGCAGATAATCCAAGGCTTAATATTTCCAAGTAATATCCATCTCTTACTGTACATCAAAATAGGTGTTCCATAAGCAAGCTTTCAGACCATGTCCTTCTTCAGGCTAGGAACACCACATGATTATTTCAGTGTAGCATGTTCAAATGGAATATCCAGTTATATAAGAAACACATGTACCATAATTAATGTCTATCCCAGGGGCGGACTGACAACTCATGGGGCCCCCGGGCAATAGGGGATCATGGGCCCCTGTGTCCTTTCCCAAACTCAAAAAAGCCTATGAAAAAGGTACCAGGGGCATCTCATGGGGCCCCCTACTGTCCCTGGGCCCTCGGGCAGTGCCCGAGTTTCCAAATGGTCAGTCCGCCCCTGGTCTATACATTATGCAGATACATAGTAGCTGCAATTTCAGGAGCTTTCCTACTCACTCATGGTCCCCATTGTCACAAAATTATCAGTTACCTGAACATACCTACAACAATTTGTATAAATATCTACCATACAATTATTTATGTATATGCATTCACATACATCCAAACAACACACATACTGTATGCATACACATTTACAGAAATAAACACAATTTCCAAAAAAGAGACAAAATGCGAAAAACTAAACAAAAGAATCATCTTAGTGACAGATCATACCATATCATGTCTTCCTATAAGACCAGATGATAATCAAAACCCAAATTCAAACTTCTTGGTTGTAAGATAATCAATTAGTTATTTAGAGGTTTATTTGAGCATTTTCATCTCACTTATTTATGAGGTCACATAGTTTGAGCACATGATGCATGTTTATTGTATTACCATTTATATATTGTGGCGCATTTTGTATTTTTAGCACCAGTTTGGTATTTATGTATTATATATTTTCAGCGCTGCACTATTTTTTGAAAATATTATTTATCACTGTTAAGGTATCAGTTTAGAGTGTCAGCTGCGGATATCTATAGGAATATTTATCACTTACTTTTGTGCGCAGGAGGACTTCCTTCATATTCTACTGTAGTTATATCCAATATACCTCTACCAACTCCTTATCCCCTCCTCATCATTCTTTAGTGATATGATCAATCACTAAAATCTCAGTTGAGAAATTGAATGTGCACATTCTACAAAATGCCACGTTACTGGCTGCTGTATCAGCCTGTCATTGACAGCATACTTGTATGTTGCAAACTGATCCTTCACTTTTTCAGTAGTGATGGGCTGAACACCCCCCTGTTCGGTTCATGTTTGAACATATGAATTTAACAAACGTTTGACCATGAACTTCGAAGTCAATGTAGGTCTTTGGGACTCGAACTTATAAATTCAAAAGTGCCCATTTTGAAGGCTTATATGCAAATTATTGGCCATAAAAGGGGTATGGGGACTTGGGTTCTGCCTTGCAGGACATGAATCAGTGAATTTTTTTATTTTAAAAAGTACACTTTTTAACAAGGCAGTTGTTTTTCATTGCTTAACCTCCCTGGTGGTATGATTATTTCAGATTTTTGGTGCTGAAAGCGGTACCATTATTTTGCATGGAAATTTGGCGTTTTATATTGTAGGCCTGTAATTTTTAGGAATAACTCACTGAAATCTGTCCAAACAAGAATCTAGTAAACATCCCGAGTATGTTAAAATTTGAAACACGAAAACATAAATTATAATTTAATAAATAATCATAAAAAATAATAATATAATAATAATAAAGTTAATTCAATAATATAATCAAACTAAAAACACTGAAATTTGAAATATAGCGCCAAGTTCGCACATCACTGATCTTAGTCGCAAAATCTTTTTCAATGTCTGATGATGAATTTGCCCACGAATCATTATCACTCAATTCTGCAAGTGGTTCTAATTTACTATCGCTGTTCTCTAGCTGGTCTAAAACCACTTTTGACCTAAAGGGACTTTTTTTGGACGCCATGGACGTTTCTCAGTTTCCAGGCAGTAAAAATGCAGGCAGGGCACAGGACAAAGCACTCGGGACAAAATATATGTGAAATGGTTTGATACAGTAATGTTTTACTATGTGATTTTAGTGATTTTAGTGAATGTCACTGTTTGTCATTTTCAAATTTCCCGCCGTTCTGTCCCCCGTACGTTCCGACGCTCGCAGGCGATGGAACCCAGATGACAGATGACGGCATCTGCCGGATTACATTGCCGGGGACACTGCATGAGGGACATCGCGGGAGCGCAGGACAAGGTAAGTGATCGAGGGATCCCGGAGCAGCGCCGCATAGTAAGCCCGAGTGTAGCTCGGGTTTACCGCTTGTGGTGCTGAAACTTTACCCGAGCTACACTCGGGAATACCACCAGGGAGGCTACAGTAAAATAATAAAAAAAATAAACATTTCTTTAAATATCATGTCTGTGGGATCCCCTTAAACTACCTCCAAAGTTGCATGGCAATACAATGTATAGAACCTGCTGTAGGAGGACTGACATTTTATTTTAAAAAAATTACATTTTTATTTTTTAAAAAAAAAAAACCAGCGTGGGGTCTCCCTCCTAATCTATACCAGACCCTTTAGATTTGGTAGGAAGATTAAGAGGAACCCCACAGTAAAAAAAAATTTAAAAAGTGCATGAGGTTCCCCCTAAAAGCCATACCAGGCCCTTTAGACCTGGTAGGACTTTCAAGAGCAACCCCACCCCCCCAAAAATGGAGAGAAAAAGCATGGAGTCCCCCCTAAATTCCTACCAGACCCTTGATCTGAGCACAGACAACACAGAAAAGCCCTCCTTGCGGCTTACCAGGCCACGTGCCCTTGGCATGGAGACGGTGTCCCCATGCCAATGGGGACAAGGGTCTCTTCCCCACAACCCTGGCCCGGTGGTTGTGGGGGTCTGCAGGCTTGAGAGCTCACTAGCATCAGGGTACCCCTTTAAATAAGGGGGCATCCTTATGCTGCCCCCCACCTTGTGAATTAGTAAGTGGTTCTTTTACCCCTATATCAATAAAAACCAGCGCAAACCCACATAATCAATTGCATTACTCAACTTATTAAACAAACTTAAAGACTGTGACAAAAAAAAAACCACTTTTGTGTTAGTAATAAAAATTAAATTATATATAAATATAAAAAATTAAAATTCATAAGTCCAGTGACAAAAAAATCCCAAAAACTTAAGTAAACAGTCCCGTGACAAAATAAATCAAATAATAATTAAATTATAATTTTCATTGGATTCTTCCGTGCCTTTAATCCCTTCACCATCCACCAGTGCAAAAACCAACATTAACCGCACTCACCAGATATTAGTGAGTCACACGCCTTTCAGGAATATTAAGGGCTCCTGGACCCCCTTTACTTTTTATGAGACCTCCAAATGCTGCTTCCTCTTATGTCTGGGTGCCTCTTCTGCTTACTCCTCTCACCGAATCCCCCAAGGAAAATCAGGAATAAGAAAAGACCATAGCGTGATACCGTAATGGTTTCTCCTCAAAATAATCTCTCCAGACGACTCACATTTTAGCGGGGTATAACCCGCATTTTATTAGAAACAACAATGATTTTCTTTCAAAATGATCCACTTTCCAATACAGCGACTTTGCATAAAGACCCCACAGCCTGGTAAACAGCAGGATGGCAGACCTCAGATGCAGACTCATCCACTATGCTAAGATGGCCCCTTGGAACGCACCGCTCGGCGTGCGTTCCACTCACCGGAAATGACGTCAGACGCCGGAACAGGCAACCGGAAGTGCGTCAACGCGTTTCGCCCCACCCACAGGGAGTTATCAAGGCGCTCATTTCCACTTCCAAGCCGCTTATAAAGCAATGGGGGATCCCTCCCACTAATTAATCTGGACACAAACCTGGACACAAGCATGTCCATCACCGCCATCCCTCTGTCTACCCATGTGGGGTCTCCTTACAACAAAAAACAGATCCCATTAAATTAAAAAACATAATTTAAAAACCTAATTTCATAACCTTAAGTCTTCTACCCCAAACATAAGGGTAAAGACAGGAAATTACAATACATTAAATAAAAAATCTATATTAAAATAAAATAAAATAAAATAAAAATAAATGAAAATAAAAATAAAAATAAATATAAATAAAAATAAAAATAAAATTAAAAATAAAAATAAAAAATAAAAATAAAATAAAGATAAAAATAAAAATAAAAAAAAAAAAAATAAAAATAAATATAAAAATAAATAAATAATAAATAAATAAAATAAAAATAAAACTAAAAATAAAACTAAAAATAATAAAAAAATAATAATAAAAATGAAAATAAAAAATAAAAATATCACTAACATATAACATCTAAATATTATATATATTATAAAACTTCAAAAACACCTAATCATGAACACGCACTTCGGACATTAACTGGGTATTACCAATTTGACAAAAAGCAATTTATATCAATATCTGCATTCAACCCATTAGGATACAATGTACCCATTTGATAAATCCACTTCGTTTCATTTCGAGACACATTTATTACCATATTTCCTCCTCTCCAAGGGACTTCCACTCTATCTATCCCACAAAATTTCAGCGATGCCGGATCTCTGTTATGATACTTTCTAAAATGATATGATAAACTATGATGTTTGAATCCCTTCTTTATGTTTCTAATATGTTCTCCCAATCTGGTGGCAAGTTTCCTCGTTGTTCTCCCTATATACTGGAGTTTACAAGAGCACTCCAGCAGATAGGTAACATGCGTACTATCACATGATATAAACTTATTGATCTTATGGGATGCTCCATTATAACAGGATTGAAAATCCTTGTAATGCTTTTTCCTGTCCCCTTTCAGGGTTCTACAAGCCAAACATCTCCCACACTTGAAAAAACCAGCCCTATCCAGAAAAGTAACCATTTTCTTAGGTACATCTGGAACATTTTTTAACAAGTCGAGATCTTAACTTTTAACTCTTCTTCATTTAAAACAGAATCACTCAAATTGAAGATCCCTTGATTTAAGCTGACCTCTTTCTTTTTCCTTTTCCCCCCTCTGCATCCCCTCCTTTTGGCCAATAGGGGTCCTGTTGGTTCATAGGAGGTCTCCACCCTCCTCCCCCTCTCCTGGGTGGATAGAAAGGTCCTCCTCTTCCCCTCATCTGGAATGACCCCCTTCCTCCTCCCCCTCTCCATGGGGGTCCCCCATACCCCCCCCTCTGAAAATCCTCCCTCATCGGAGGATATCCATATTCATGAGGTGCTAGGGTGCCCCAATTATTAAAAGGCTCAAACCTGTTAAATACTGGCACATCATATTTTGGTGTCCCATTTTGTTCCTTGTTTTTCATAGGGGATTTACTTTTAACCTGAGGGGATTTATTTTTAACCATAGGTGATTTCCCTGTCGTCCTCTCATTTCCTATTCCTGGTGAGGAGCTCCTAGATTAGGAGAGGGGGAGGAGGGTGGAGACCTCCTATGAACCAACAGAACCCCTATTGGCCAAAAGGAGGGGATGCAGAGGGGGGAAAAGGAAAAAGAAAGAGGTCAGCTTAAATCAAGGGATCTTCAATTTGAGTGATTTTGTTTTAAATGAAGAAGAGTTAAAAGTTTTAGCATTAGGATTGAAATACGCACCGGACAAAAAACTTAATAAACTGGAAACTTATATTGATATACATAAGTTTGTGAGGAAAGTAAATTTAAAGAAGTATTGGGCTAATAAAACTAATTTTGAGTATAACAGTGAAAAGGGAGAGGATTATTTTCTGCATACAGAGTTGAGGAATAAATCTGTGTTTAATCCGAAAATCTCTAATAATTGTTGTGTAGAAACGTTTAAAAAAATGGTGGAACATGATCTGGAGGATTTATCCATTCCTTTTATGAGGAAGAAACAGGATTTAGAAATTGGTATAAAAAGACTGGAGGAAAATAAAAATATTGTTATAAGGCCGGCAGACAAGGGTGGTGGCCTGGTGGTACTAAATAAGGTAGATTATTACACAGAACTAAGTAGATTGGTAGATGATGTTGAAACATATGAGTTGTTAAGGGGTAACCCGACCATTAAATATAAGAATTTGCTAATAAAACATGTTAAAGAAGGTGGTAAAAGAGGAATACTTAACAAAAAAGAGATTAAATATTTGTTACCTTCTGCTCCAATAACACCTGTGATCTACCAATTACCAAAAATCCACAAAGATCTTAAAAAAAACCCCGGGAGACCCATTATTAGTGGGATAGATTCTTTGTTTTGTAGACTAGGTGAATATGTGGATAAGTTTCTGCAACCTCTAGTTCCCATGTTTCCAGCGTACCTGAGGGATAGTGGTGATCTGATCAATTTGATTAGGGGAATTAGGGAAGAGGGGAGATGCGTGATGGCTAGTGTGGATGTCAATTCCCTGTACACTAATATAAGGCATGTGGATGCACTAGGAGCAGTTAAGTGGGCCTTAGAGGCCAAAGCAGGTTTAAAATCACAGCAAACTGAATTTTTACTTAATAGTTTAAATTTAGCTATGTCACATAATTATTTTTGGTATTCTGGTAAATACTATAGGCAAGCAAGGGGTGTGGCCATGGGGGCCAAGTATGCACCATCGGTGGCGAATTTGTTCATGAGTAGATGGGAAAGTGAAGCCATTTTCAAGAAAAGAACTACAGAGTTGCTAGTTTATAGAAGATTTATCGATGATATTATTATAATTTTGGAAAGGTACAAGAGAGACACTGGAGGAGTTTATTCAAGAGATGGGGAATAATTCTTTCAATATATCATTTACTAAAAATATTAGTGAGGAGGGAGTGGATTTTTTGGACCTGACAATTTACAAGAAAGATGATAGGTTTTATACCAAGACATATTTCAAGCAAGTCGACAGGAATGGATATATCCCGAATTTTAGTTGCCACCATAGAAATTGGCTAAAATCCATCCCTAAGAGTCAGCTTATTAGGATCAAACGTAATTGTGATGATGAAGGTGTTTTCTTGGAACAGTCTGAGGTGTTATTACAAAGGTTTAGGGAGAAAGGCTATGGAGAAGAAAATTTGGCGGTTTCATTGGAACAGGTTAGAAAGATTAGTAGAGATGAACTTTTAAAGAAAAAAGAAAGCAAAAAGAAGTTGGGAGATGTGGCTTTCATTACAGGATACTCTAAGCATTATAAATTGGTTGAAAACATCATTAAAAAATATTGGTCAATTCTAATGAGGGATGAAACTCTTGGGAAAGTGTTACCTAGTAAACTCTTGTTTATATATAGAAAACCACCAACTTTAAGATCTCGACTTGTTAAAAATGTTCCGGTTGTACCTAAGAAAATGGTTACTTTTCTGGATAGGGCTGGTTTTTTCAAGTGTGGGAGATGTTTGGCTTGTAGAACCCTGAAAGG